CCGCCTCCTGGGTTCAAGCAATTCTCCTGCCTCAGCCTCCCAAGTAGCTGGGATTACAGGCGTGCGCCGCCATGCCCAGCTAATTTTTGTATTTTTAGTAGAGACGGGAGTGCAGTGACCTGATCTCTGCTCACTGCAACCTCTGCCTCCTGGGTTCAAGCAATTCCCCTGCCTCAGCTTTCCAAGTGGCTGGGACTACAGGCACGCGCCACCCCACCCAGCTAATTTTTTGTATTTTAGTAGAGACAGGGTTTCACCATGTTGGCCAGGCTGGTCTCAATCTCCTGACCTCATGATCCACCCGCCTCAGCCTCCCAAACTGCTGGGATTATAGGCATGAGCCACTGCACCCGGCCCAGTTTGTAATTTCTGCTGGAAATTCAGTCATGGATTCATCTCCATTCATCCTATTCATTCATTCCTTCACTCATTCATTCATTAGACTGTTGGCTCCTTGAGGACAGGGACTTTTGTACTGGTCACTGATGAACGCTTGGTGCCCAGCACAGCACCTGCCACAGAATGAGGACTCAGCACACATGAACAAATGAATGCATGAATGAATACACATATATACATAATGACACACTCCATCCATCCATCCATTCATTGCTGCAGCTCTCTCTTTGTGTCTTTTGGCCCTCTACTTCCTTCTGAGACATACTCAGCTGATTCCTGGGACCATTAGCATAGTTTAGGAGGAGGGCGCCTAGAAGACTCACCAGCCTTCTTTTTGGCCATGCTTAGGGGGACCGGTTGTCCTGGGAACATGGCGCTTCTCTGAAGAGTGGGGATTCCTGGAGGCCAGATGGATTTGGGATCCAACGTTTGACTTTGGGACAAGCCAATAATTGTGGGACCCAGGGCAAATGCAAACGTAGACCCCTTAAAAAAATTTAAAATGTTTTCAGACTATGTAATCAAAAACAGGTTATTTGAAGGATAAGGCCTTGAGTGATGGCACAGGTCACACTCCTGTGCAGCCAGCCCTGTCTGTCCCAGCACAGGGAGGCCCAGGGCTGCACTCACTCAGGTCCTCAAGCCCCTCAGTGGCTCTTGCCCCTCCTCTGCTGCCCCCGTTCCAGAGCCTGGTCCAGCCCTGGCTCAGAATTGAAGGCTGGCAGGATTTCCCTGCCCCCTTGGAGGCCTTTGAGAATTTCCAGGACAAGGTGCCCACTGTGCGGACAGGGGTTCAGGGCATGGAGACCGTGCCCCGAGGTGGGCCGTTAGGTAGTGCGCTGGCCCGTCCCCTTAGGGCACTCTGCTGACCACCGGCCCCTCCGCAGGCCTGGGCCTCCGCTGTTGCTGTGGCTGGAGCGGAATCTGGAGAGAGTGCTGCCTCAGCCCCCCAGATCCTCCGAGGTGAGTCAAGGAAGGGAGGGGCAGGGAGTTGAGTACTTGGGGGGCTTCTAGGGCCCCAGGAGGGCCTGCCTCCTCCTGCAGGCTGTCCCCACCCCCCAGGAACTCAGGAGGGGGTGATGGCCCCCTCGGAAAGTTCTTGATGGCGGGGAGTGACTGTGAGAGGGGGCGGGGATTCAGGAGAAGGAGTGGGGGTGGGGGGAGCGCACAGAGCCTGCTATGGCCCATGACCTTGAAACCCGTTTGTCACCCAGGTCTGGAGAGAGGAGCCTGAAAGTGCCACAGGTGCTGCCTCGGACCCAGGTACAGGGAGGGGAGCTCAGGAGGGGGCTTCCTGGGGTGGTCATGGTCTGGGCTTGGGGGTTAACTGGGCCCTGGAGGATCCCCCGGAGTCCCTTAGCCCCCACCCAGGCTAGGACGGGGTTCAGGGCTTGCCAGGAGCAGGCTGTTGTGGGGAACACCAGATTCCCCTCCCCAGTCCAGCATGGGAAGCCAGAGTCTCGGAATAGACTTGTGCGGTCTTGGACAAGTCCCTTCTCCTTCCTGGGTCTCAGTTCCCATGTCTTTCTGGTCTCTTTGAGGGTAGGGATGGGTGAGGTGATCCCCAAAAGCTCCCCAATCAGTTAGTACCTTGAATCTGACCTCTGTGCCCTTGCACAGAGGACGCTCTGTTGTGGCGTCTCTAGCTCCTGCTTTCCCTCCTGCTTAGCGCCTCCAGGACGCCCCCAGGAAACGGGGCCCAAGCTGCAGGCCCAGGAGATCCCCTCCCTGCCCACGCCAAGCCCCCTGCAGCCCAAGGAGGAACCCAAGGAGAAACCCAAGGAGGTGCTGGCTCCAGAGCCCCAGCCTGGCTCCCAGGCCCAGGCCTCCTCCCTCCCTCCACAAAGGGACCCTGCCAGGTGAGCCACCCTCAATGCGGTACCTCCCGCCGGGGAGCAGGGTGAGTACCTTGTCCCTGCCCAACACCCAGCCTCCACAAAACCTGGAAGAAAATTCAACTGGATGTGTGCAGGCCCCTTCCCAAGGCACCACATCAGCTTCATGCCTTTCCCACATTTTCTATACTTTCAAAGCTTTCAAGCTTTGGGTACTTTTTTTTCTTCAACACACACCTGACAGGAGCAAACTCTAATACTCTTCCACACTTTGCTTTTTTTTTTTGAGACTGAGTCTTGCTTTGTCTCCCAGGCTGGAGTGCAGTGGCACAATCTCTGCTCACTGCAACCTCCACCTCCAGGTTCAAGCGATTCTCCTGCCTCATCCTCCTGAGTAGACTGGGATTACAGGTGCGGGCCGCCCCGCCCAGCTCACTTTTGTA